TATATATATATATATATATATAAACTTCTTCTTACTAACACCTTCTATATCTTATCTCTTTATATAATGCAAAATTAATATCAAATTATTAACCTTATTGGAATAATATTAATAATATTAATAATAATAATAATAATAATGAAATAAAACTAGCGTGTTAAATAAATGTGTGCAAATAATAATAATAATAATAATAATAATAATAATAATAATAATACAATGTGTATAATGTGCATGCAATAATAATAGTTAATATTTACAAACAAATTATTGTTAAATTTTTTAAAAGCGATATAGTATATATATATGTATCTCATTGTTCATATCACGTCATGTAAAACATTCTTATGTCGAGTATAATGATATCGAGGGTGTTGGGGTATAAATTATGTAAAAGTGTGCTTTAAATATGATCTAATAATACACATGGCTGCTGTTGCTGCTGCTACTGCTGCATCTATTCATAAATTTTCCCTATTGCAGTAAATTGTAGAGGCGTATTTATTTTGCTATTTTTATTTATTCTTTTTCAATCTTCTCTTAACTTTGCACATTATTGCAATCCTAACTTGAATATTAATAATAATAATAATAATAATAATTTTATGAAGAAATCGTAATGAATTGTTTATTACGTGTCATTGCATAACAAATGTTCAAAAAAACAATATTGCACGTTAGCTTGTAAAGAAAAGAAGAAGACAAACATAAAATAAAAATACAGAAAAGAAAAGTAAGGAAAAAAGAAAGAAAGAAAGAAAGAAAGAAGAAGAATAAGAAAAAGATAGGTCAATAGTTAGTAAAAAAAAAAAAAATATAAAATGTGAATGCTTGGGGAAATTTACATACACACCGTTGAAATGGTGGTACGTACCATGAAGAACGTACCAAATTATTATATATTAAATATTATCTAATGAATGAATTAATGAATTAATTAATCGCGCTAACAATAAAAACGTCGACTTGAATTTACAAGGATTAAACATCAACGACGATTATCAGATAGTAATGGATGATGAAAAAGAAAAAGAAAAACAAAAATAAAAAGATACAAAAAAAATTATATATTATAAATTTATGTAATGATTAATATTATGTAAACGTATGCTTGTATATGATAATATTTCTTGAATAAAGTAGCTGTTTTTGCCTCGTAATCTTGTAACGTATTGAAAGTAAGAAGAAGAAGAAGAAAATTAATGAAAAAAAATATATATATTGTGTAATTTCGTTTGATTTAATGTGAATGTCATTTAAAATAATTATTCATATTTCTTGTAAACTATTCCCTAAATGCTATTTTAATGTTTTAAACTATCTAAGAATATTATGACTTCTTAAATAAAGCTATCTCTTTCTCTATTATTAAATATGTTTCTCTCTATTACACACATTAAATATATATATATATATTTATATGTATCATGTGTGTCAATATTTTGATAAAATATTAATTAATTCATTCTTTCTATTCCCTCAATTTATAATTCAATTGAATTCATATTTTAATTTTGTTCATTTGATACTTTTAAAAAATTAACATTTTTTCCTTCATTATCGAGAATTAAGTTATTTAAGTTTAATTCTTTGAAAATTCAGTGATTAAATATTCTCTTTCCATTTAAATATCATAAATGTGTGATTAAAATTTAATACAATAAATATTATAAATAACAATTATAAAATACAATTTAAAATATTAAGTAGGTAAACTTTTTCGTAGAAATGACGTCACTTTACATGAATCAATGCATTGACCATTTTATTTAAATAATTATATTAATACGAATTTGTTTTATACTTGTTAACTGATATATGTAATATTCTTTTTATTTTTTTTTAATAAAATATATAATTTTTTATTAAAAAAATATATGTCTATTAATTAATTGTGTTGTACCGGAAACAAATGTGATTATTTTTATGGCGGTTTCATATGAAAAAAAAAATAAAATAAAAAAAATTAAAGAAATTTTCAATAATAAAATATTGAAATAGAATTTGTAAATGTATCAATGAGATATTAATAAAATATTATTTATCGTCTAATTTATAATCTATTCAAAATTATATTTACTTTTATTCGTTAGTTGTTTTAAAATTCTATAAAGTTTCGTTTACATGTACATGTCGTTCTAACCTATTGCAGCGTCTTATTCATTATTGTTCATTATTATAATTATTTATAAACAAAATTTATAATTTTTCTACAAATTTGTCTCCTCTCATTGCAATAAATTTATTTAAAGTATAATTCAACGAGATGAATTAAAAACTAAAAGTACATTTTTAATGTCGGCGAATATATAACCTAACAAACACTGCATGTATTAAACTAAATGATAAATATTTTGAAGTGTTTGATTATTTCTTTTTAAATATGGCCAAACATCATCCAGATTTAATCTTTTGTCGTAAACAACCGGGTGTTGGTAAGTTAAATTATTATTTCTTAAAGTATAATAAACAAATGCATTATATAAATTATAAATTATTATTTTTTTTTGTAGCCATTGGTCGTCTCTGTGAAAAATGTGATGGTAAATGTGTTATTTGTGACTCCTATGTTAGACCTTGTACTTTAGTTAGAATATGCGATGAATGTAATTATGGATCATACCAAGGACGTTGTGTGATATGCGGAGGACCTGGTGTATCAGATGCATATTATTGTAAAGAGTGCACTATTCAAGAAAAAGATGTGAGTATATATATATATATATATATATTTAGTAATAAATTAATAATATCAAATAATATTAACAAATGTGTATTACAATTAATTATATAAATTGTTTTCAGAGAGACGGTTGTCCTAAAATAGTTAATTTGGGTAGTTCCAAGACGGATCTCTTCTACGAGAGGAAAAAATATGGATTTAAAAGAAGATAATTTTGTTTTATTATAAGTCGTCAGCAATATTATTAAGAAATAAATGTATTTCTTTTTTTTTTTTTTTTAAATATATATTATGACATAATAATTTTCTTAATGATTTATATTAAACAATAGGACATGATAATAATATTTGAATTATTCATCAATGATTTCACATCTGATAATAAGATAAAACTTAAAAGTAAAGATAAAGATGTATTACATATTATTGAATATATATATATATACATAAGATAATTTCTATAAATAGACATTCCTTTTTTAAGTATATCATTCGTTATTAAATTATTCCCTGATTGCTTGTAATATATTTTTTATTTCAATCACATTAAGAAATATTTCTATGCCAATTTTACTAATAAATATATTTTCTACTTTGCCATACTTCATTCGGTATACAAGCATGTAATAACATTTTTTTCTATTATTTTCTATAACAACTTTTTACAATAGATTGTAAAAATAGATTCAATCTTTCGGCTTCATTATTATTATTATTATTATTATTATTTATTTTCTTATTTTCTTTTCGTTTAATGTTAATATTTGTCTACATTGCAGCATTCATCAAAACTATAGCCATTTAATAATGGATACAAAATAACATATATAGGCATTTTGTAAATGAAACAATATTTTACAAAATGTTTTCGTTGTTTGTAAAATAATATATTCTCTTATCGAATATATTTATTTATAATATAGAAAAAGCAAAATAGTAAAAAGCTATTATTTATTGTAAAAAGCAGCAGCAATGTAGTTATCATCTGTTATGTGTATTCTCTATCCTACCTATTATCTTATAAAGAATATATATTATTTAATATAAAAGTAGTTTTATTTGTTTTTTTTCTATTTTATATCATATAAGAGAAGTACAAGTTTAACATTATGATAGAACTTGTATTTCTCTGTGACTGTTAACTTTGTTATTTGAACTAACATGATGGATAGATATATTTCCTGAATTATTGACATATAATCTAATAATTTATCAATAAAATAAAATCTCTCTATTGAATTATAAAATATCCCATAACCTTATTTAAAAAAGAAAAAAAAAAAAAACATAAAATGCATTAGTCTTAATCGCAAATATTTCAAATGGATGGATTACGTTAAATTCATCAGTGGAATTTATTTGATAAAATCATTTAATATAAATTAAATGATAATGTCATAGGAATGTTATAGTTCCATTATTGAATTTTAATAATTATAAAGTTCTGTATAGATTTCTATTAACGAAAGAATAATAAAACTATTTTTATGTATTCTATATTAAAATGCGATTAAGTTTCTTTATCATATCATTTTTATATTCTTATCATCTATATACTTTTATATTGTGTATATACACATTATTGATTTTTTTTATACAAAATTTGCTTCTCATCTACGTCCTAATCTATTTTTTTTTTTTTTTTTAATCAAATCCCAGTTGTAATATATGTTTAATTGTATATAGTAAATTCGTTACCATATAAACTACTTTTGTATATATATAATAATAATAATTATTATTATTATTTCTATTATAATTATATAAACAGCAAGGGCTGTTCTTAAGCATCAATACGTTTAGTAAATAATAAGCATTTACTGGAAGTATAATTATTTATATATGTATATAACATGTTAATTTTTTTAATATATATATATATATATTTGTGTATGTGTTCATCATGTTTTTTAAACTGCATTAACACGATACAGTTAACTCCATTTTTAGTAAAAAATATATTTTATATTATTTTAAAAGAAACAACATTTATGTTGTTAAAATTAAATTTTAAATTATACAATTTTGCAAAACTATTTAAAATTCATTGACACGCGTAAGGGAACTGTTATAGAAAGAACTGAAAGAATTTTATATAAATATATTATTAAATAATTACGATATTGATATACGCGTTTTAAAAATAATAACATACAAAAAAATATAACTTCCTATCGATATAAATTGATTTCAAATTTTACAATTATTATTAAGGAAATGCAATTATTCAAT